CCTGATGAAAATTAGAATAAACCATATCATTCCTTATAAAAAAAATAAAATGATAGATTTTTTATGACTTTATGTTTGGTCTTATATACATCAAAATTAGGCGAACAATTTGGTATAAGAATCACTTTTTTTTTTTTAAAAAAGTAATTTTTATACATGGTGAACGACCTCAAATAAAGAGAGAAAAAAATATATACTTGAATTGATACTTTTCAATAAATAATTACTGATTTTAGCAATATTCTTTATTTATTATCATTTATAGCAATACTATATTAAATCTGTAATATGAATCAAAAGTGAATCTATGTATACAATACATATGTATTATAATTGTTTTTTAAATATATTATGCTTGTTTGGTTAGAAATTGACACATTGTATTATAAGTGTATCAAAATGTGTGATAAATATATTAACCATCAATAAATTTTGTATTATATGTGAATGATAAATTGTTCTTTGTAATATGTATTCAAATTGTATATATATGTATTAAAAGTGATCAAATAAAAAAAATGTTATTGTTATAAATGATAACTATTTTCTTAATTTAATATATTTATGTAAGTTTATCTAAAGAGAACTAGAAGACATTGATAAAATTTAATATAATATACATCGCGGTATTTTAACACGAGATAGTTAATACAACAATTTATATAAGTTGTTTAACATGATTTTAAGTTTTAACTAATGATAAATAATAATATATATATATTTAAGAAAGAAAAAACATAGAGAGAACTGGGCCCATCATCCCGCCATAGCGGGACAGATGCCGCTAGGGTGGCGGCGCCCCAGTGGGACACGGAACGCCAAAACGGGAAGGTTAGGGGCAGAATTTAAATAACACGATCTTATTTTCTCCACCATCTCGACGTCCGGAAGCCAAGATTGGAGTTACAATCCCTTTGCAACCGCTTGACGTACGTGTAGGCTAAGTTCATTAATTGAGTAGTCTTCAATATGTGTTAACTACGTAGTATTTTGTTAATTGATGGTAGAATTTATGTGTAGGCCAACGGGCACGAAAAAATGGATGATTGTACATGTACCCTAGTTGCTAAGGATGGTTTTACGGTGGTGAACAACCTTATCTAGTGAGCTAGGGTTAGATGATGATTCGACCGCTAGTTTTGTGTTGTAGTGCTTGTTAATATTCCTATTGTATGTGTACACGTATGGGTATAGAGAATTATGAACCGAACCCAATGAAATGACTATGTAAGCATAATTACATGCCATGAATCTGTTACTCGCTTGTGTGACTAAGTGAATTGTTCATTAAAGGTGTGATTATACATTAGGCCAGGTATCACGTTCTGACACATATACATTGGATCGGATGCCGCATTCCGACGCATATACATTGAATCGAGTGTCACGTTCTGACACATACATTAGATCGAGTTTCATGTTGTGACACATATACTTTGGATGTAATTTCACATTCCGACACACTAAGATTTTGGGTATGAGTTCTATGAGAGAACCATTATAATTATCATATGCATATCTGCTTGCTATTGATATTGGGAAATTGTATGATTGCTCTTAAAAGAATATTAAGCTATGCAGCTGGTTTATGTGTGTTACTATATTGTAAGTACTCTCTTTCGTACATCTCGTTTTTTGAAATAAGATCTGGTAAGTGGAGACTGAAGGTCCAAATGTTATCGTTTACTTTAGAGAGGTGGTTAATGTCCTTACTAGTGAGAAGTGTAGTGTTCATGATGCAAAAGTAGTTAGGTCCTACCTTTGGCTGGTAGAAAAGGCTAGCAAGCCTTGATAGAATATACTATGTGGTTAAGGGTTGAATTGTGATGAAAAAAAGCAACGGTACGTTGTGAGTGGCTAGTCGGACTAGTATTAGCAGCATTAGGAGATAGATTGGTTAATCTACGATTACAAACTGAACGAGTAGGGTTATAGAGATGAGGTTCAAAATTAAGTATGCTAGTATGTTTCAAGATATTTGGGGATGGTAAAGGCTTGAGTATAAATATTGATGGGTCTACTTTAGTATTGCGTGTTTTCTATTGGTTGATCTCTTTATGTTGTGGGTATCAGATTGACTGATGATGCCTATCAGTACTGTGATTTGTACTGATATTACTCTTGTTATGCCTTTTTGGCATAGTCTGGTTGTAGGGACAGTGATGTTTCATAGGTGAAGACGATGACAATCACCAACAACTCCTATTTTTCTATGTTATCTCAAAAAAACATGTACATTTTTAGACTATATCCCTGAGTGTAATTTATGTTATAAATTTTAATTTGGATTGTCTTTTAAAAAAAAACAAATTTAGCTCTAGAATAGTGTATAACGACATTTCATTAAACATAAAAAATATCAATAGGTATAAGTACAAGCAAGGGGGGCTAGACCTTACTTTACTAATTCTAATGAAGTACCTAACTTTTGCTACCTAACAAGCATGGAGAAAATAAGAGTTAGAGAGAACTAAGTATTCTCTAATTACCACAAAGTTTGTAATACTCCCTATGATGATATTACAAATGAGGATGCTTAAATAATGTAAAAATATTTCAAATCAAGAAGAAAGTTGACTTATCAGCGTCAAACTTTCTATCACAAAGACATGAACTAAAAAAGATTGATTATCCATCCAAAGTAACTTGAAGTATTTGTCTCTTTGTTTTATTCAAACACATCCAACATCACTTGATAATTCATACTTTCTTTATGGATTTATTGGATCTTGTTGAACCTATTGATACTGTCAAATGGTTCTGCTTTGCTTGTAAGATTGGTGCCTTGAACAAACTCCTCAATCATTTTACTGTCCTAGCTATGTTGTCTTCAATGTGTCTTTTGCTTTTGTTGCTTCTACTTTTTTTTGCCTAAGTGGTATACCTCATTCCTAGCCACTCTATAAAATCACATGTTCAACATATTGTCTTTCTTATCTTCATCAAGAGAATCCTCGCTCAAATGAAACATATTGTCTTCCTCATTTTCATTGAGATAATCCTCACCAAAATCAATTGTATTTGAAACTAAAGCCCTTGACTCATTCTTTTTTGCATTCATACATTTAGCCACAAATATAGGAGCTTCTAGACTTAATTTGCTATTCAAAGCAGGTGGTTAAAACTGCTTTTCTTGGATTAAATTATTGTCCTTATCTGTTAACTTTACTTGTTTTCCGATAGTCTTTAATAAAGCATCCAAAACTATTCGAGCATAATAAGTCTCTTGAGGCATTACTAATATCTTGTTTCTTCTCACTGTCATGAAAATTTCCAGTTTGCACTACATGGAGAATTATTTTGACTAGTCGGGCAAAGTATTCGATTACTAGTTGATTTTTTGTGTGCAACCAATATCCAGTTTTTAGTTGCATTATTGTTTTTAACTTGAAACCACACGCTGTCCAGAATTTTTAGCATCTTCAACATCAGATGTATCCATCAGTTTTGTCCAATTTTTTGCTCGAATCAACTCGTGGTGCATCAACCCCAACTCTTGGTGTCCCCTCCATTATTAGTTGCATTACACACCAAATCCAACCCATTTTCTTTTGATTACATTTAATTAGTAGCGGTCTGTTGATTTTTAGAGTCACTTTTATTACTGGTAGTTGTTTGAACACCAGTATAACTTGTATCAACATCCATTGAATTTACATGATTATGCTCAGAAGTAACATCAATCAGTTGTCGATCTAAAGAAGTAGCTATACTTTGATCGATATCTACAACCTTTCTTTTCCATTTAATATTTCTCTTGCATCACCTTGATACTTTTCACTATTGATAGTACCTTTTAAAGGAACTCCAATGGCATCATCAATTTGTTTTTTATTTTGATTTCTTTTCAAGATCAAATGACATCTATCTTCATCATGCCCTTGGTGTTAGGACCGGAAATAAGTAGGTGTAAATGCGAAAGCTACAAAGCAAACTTCGAAAGACCACGAGTAAGAAGACAACGAGAAATATACCAAAAGACACAAAGATTTAACGTGGTTCGGTCAATCGACCTACGTCCACAAAGGAGATGAGCAATCCACTATAAATATGAGAGTACAAAATACAGAGGGAAACAACCTCAACCAAATCACTTGGAATACATGGGAGGTTCACACAAGTGATAACATATCAAGCTTGTGACCTATAAATTCTCTCCTTAACCAAAACTCTCAAAGCCCTTAAGACTACATTGTGAATGCTGATTAAGTTAGAAGGAACATGCCTCTATTTATAGAGTCCTAAACCTTTTCCTACCAGAAAAAGGATTCGCCAATCCAAAACCTTTTTCTAAAAGGAAACCTATTTATGGTAAGAAATTTAGGGCAAATAAAACCCAACAATTGGTTCTTACAATAATTGCAATACAAAGTCATATTATCATATACAATCTCCTAAAAAACCTCTATTAACTTACTAGATTTTCCATCTACGAACTGAAAGCTTTTTCATAAGATCAAGTATAACCTTGAACCTATCGTGCTAGATTTGAGTAGATTTATCCATAGCTATTGGTTTCCCAACTTTCGATGCTACAGAGAACAAAGACTTGTTTGTAAATAATAACGTCGTTTCCTCCTTGGGATTATATAAAATAATGGACCATGAAAATCCACATTCATCATCCTCTCTATTTTAAAGAATAATTAACTGAGCGAGATAAAGCCAGTGCATAATCTTCATATTGATCAAAGCTCAACAAAATTTATCTTGGAACAAGTAAGCCAATTAAACAATTGCTCTTGGTACCAAGATATTTCGATAAAATTTGTAAGAAAAATGTTAAATGTTATTATTTCAATGATCTTTTGTCAAAGGATTTTTCATCTCTTGACAACTACTTTTACATGTGTCTCTTTGCATGAAAAAGTTTGGACCAGTTGCTAGCCACTTGTCTATTTTCCTTCAACTTCCTTACACTTGTCAATAACATTTCATACAATTTGTTGACCTAAATAAATGCATGTTGCCATTGAAGAAATGAGTAGAGAAAAATGTTTCTCTGCTCCTTACAATAAATCGTCTAGCCTTTCTCTTTACTTATCTTTTATTTACAAATTAATTAAGTGTTTTGGCTTTGTTATTTTTATCCCTTAATAACTTGCTGATGATAATTAATTTGCTGTTTTCTACTATCTCTATTTATTAACATAGGGAAGTGCTTGTTTAATTCTGGAGAAACATTTCACACTGTTGAAATAATTTCTTAGGATAATGCCCAGCACGACTCAAGTATGTATCTATTTTATGTTCTATTATTTATATATTGTCGTAGTAATTTTCATCTTATTTTCAGGACTATTTTTTGATAAATAATAAAGTTATTTATTATTATTGTTATTGTGAATTTTTCTTTAATTTTCTCAACAATCTAAGAAACTATGACATATAATTTGTGTTCCGAAACTTTTGATGATTTGTGTCATAGATTAAAAATATGCGATCTCGTGATTTAATACATGATTTAAGTTTAAATAATTTTGATGATTACATTAAAGTTGTATTTCTTTTTGCATGTTTCAGGTAACAAACTACATTATAACATCTTAATGTTTCATCTATTAAGAACCTTCAGTCTCTTGGTTTATTACCTGATTTAGAGATTAATTTTGATAAATGTGAAATATATGCTGAAGCTAAAATTACTAAAAAGTCATGTTTTTCAGTTAGTAGAGAAACTGAATTATTATCTTTGATCCATATGATTTGGGTGCTTTGAAACAAACTATGACTAGAGTGCTTTGAAACAAACTATGACTAGAGGTGGTAAAAGATATTACAAATGACTTTTATCGATGATTTTTCAGATTTGCTAAATTGTATTTGCTCAGAATTAAAGATGATGCATTTTATGCATTTATTGCTTATTAGTCTGAAGTTGAAAATTAGCTTTGTAGGAAATCAAAACAACAAGATATGATAGAGATGGAGAATTTGTATCCTTAAATATTTTATGTGAAAAAAAATGAATTATTCATTAAGTAACCCACTTTATTCACTTGAGTCTAATGGAATAGTTGAAAGGAAAAATATAACTTTATAAGAAATGATGAATTCAATGTTAATTAGTTCTAATGCACTTAATAACTTGTGGGGTGAAACAATTTTATCTGCATGTAACTTACAAAATAGAATTCCTCATAAAAGAATTGGTCGAACCTCTTATGATTTGTGGAAAGGTTATAAATCTTACTTGAAATATTTAAAAGTGTGGGGGTGTCTTGCTAAAGTTCTTTTGCCTGAACCTAAAAAGAGAAAAATAGGTTATAAAACTGCTGATTGTATGCTTATTGGATATGCTGAGTATAATGCTGCATATAGATTTCTTGTGTTGACAAGTGATGTGCTAAATTGCAATACTATTACTGAAACAAAGAATGCTGAATTTTTTGAACATATTTTTTCACTTTGCGATAAAATTTCTCATGCATCTGTTGAAAGAAATAATGAGAATACCTCAAATATTGAGGAACTGCGGAGGAGCAAAAAACCAAGAAAAGAGTATTATTCTTATGGAAATAATTTTCAAACTTTTCTTGTTGATAATATACCAGTAAATTATTTTAAAGCTATATCTTCTTCAGATGCTAAATTTTGGAAATGGACAATAAAAATTGAAATTAATTCTATTATGAAAAATAAAACATGAATTTTGACTGATTTACCTCCTGGTACAAAACCTATTGGCTGTAAATGAATTTTCAAAAAGAAACTTATTCCTGATGGATCCATAGATAAATATAAAGCTCGATTAGTAGCAAAAGTATTTTCTCAATACAAAATATTGATTATTTTGATACATTTGCACCAGGGACCAGAATTTTCTCTATTTGAATTTTAATTGCCTTAGCATAAATTCACAAGCTTTTTATTCATCAAATGAATGTAAAAACAACTTTCTTAAATGGTGATTTAGAAGAAAAAATTTATATGGTTCAACCAGAAGGATGTATTATTCCTGGAAAAGAAAAAAAAGTTTGTAAGTTAATTAAATCACTTTATGGCCTTAGACAAACTCCTAAGCAGTGACATGAAAAAATAGATCAAGTCTTATTAAAAGACAAATTTTTTTCTGTTAAAGTGAATAAATGCGTGTATACAAAAATTGTAGATAATGATTATATGATAATATGCTTATATGTTGCTGACATACTTATATTTGGTACAAGTTTAAATATTGTAACTATAACAAAATTATTTTTGTCTACTAATTTTGATATGAAAAATCTGGGTGAAGTAAATATGATTTTGGGAGCTAAGGTAATAAGAAGTGAAGATCGTATAATATCGTCACAAGAACATTATGTGGAAAGACTTCTTAAAAGTTTAAATGTTTTTGAAGTGACACCTGTAGCCATTCCTTATGATGCTAACTCTAACTTGAAAAGAATTATGGTGACCCAATTACTCAGCCTAAATATGCTCAAATTATTGAATGTTTATTGCATTTGATGAATTTTACTAGGCTTAATATTGCCTAGATGTGTGCAGATTGAGTTGATACACTCATAATCTCAATAATGAGCATTGATGTGCATTTAGTAGACTGATGAAATATTTGAAAGAAATCATGAATTACGGTTTCATGTATAGTGAATTTTCATTCTACTTTAGAAGGGTATAGTGATGCAGCCTGGATCTCTGATTCATATGAGACGAAATCCACTAGTAGATATGTTCAGCTTAGCTGATGGTGCAATATCCTGAAAATCAACTAAACAGACGATCATTGCTAGATCGACTATGGAGTCAGAGTTTGTAGCTGTGGAGCTGGTTGGTTCTGAGACTGAATGGTTAAGAAAATTCTTTGGAATATTCCTTTAATAAAGGATGAATTTTCATATAATTCCTTTGATGTGAAGAATTAATTATTGATCCCTTCTATGAAAGATGAATTATTGATCCATACGGTGTAGGATGAATTATTGATCCCTTGATAAAGGATGAACTGTTGATCCCTTTGATAAGAATGAATGTCTCATGTATTTATACACTGTGATTGTGAAGCCGCAATCAACATTGCGAAGAATGAATCTTACAGTTGTAATATCAGACACACGAATTGAGGCATGTTGTTGTTAAACAATTGCTGAAAGATGGAATCATTAATTGATTATGTGAAGTCAGAATTGAATTCGGCTGATTCACTAAGGAAATCCGTGGAAAGAAAATTAATTCTTCAGACCTCAATAAAAATAAGTTTAAGGCCAATTGGTAGCCAATAGAGATGGGAACAAGTGATATGCAATAGAGACACATGTGATTGAACAAGTGATATGCAAGTGAGATTGAATTCTTTGTATTCTTTGGTCTATCTTCCTCTTCGTCTTCCAAGTATGAGAATAAACAATATATTTATCTCTACGGTGATCAAGCATGAAATACTAAAATAAGAATACAAAAGTAATTTAAGCGATAACCAATCATTAATTCAAAACGATATTCAAAAGTAACTCGTAGCTACAAATGATATGTCCAAGTTACCCCTCCCAAAAGGCTATAAGCAGTCATTGTCAAATGAAGAACCTTTTTTAGGTTAGGGACGATCTCACAAAGAATATGATTTATACTTAGGCTAATTCACGATTATCTACGTTAAGTCAAATGATTTCTGAAAAAATAATAAAAGAAAGGGGGGGGGGTATGGATAAGATAGCAGTTTGTTGATTTGTATGAATTAGTAACAAGTAAATCGAATTTGCAGTTTGAGATATCAATATGAGATGCAAACTAGGGCACAAGTGTTCCCCACAAGCTCTTAATGCAGTATTACTAATAATAGTAACTTTATCCTAGTATTAACATGCAAAATTAATAAGTTAGATATCCAAATGATTAGTCCCTCCAAGTGGGGAACTTCACCACACAACTAGATCTGTCTACGAGTATATACTTTACTAATTCTTACCTTTAACCTTGGATTAGCCTTCGCATGATTATGGTCAGACTATTGATAGCGGCTAAACTCATCTAAATCTCCATTGTTCAATCCTTTTCTCATTCATTACTTCCTTGATCTGGCAAGTAGGAATGAGGCGAGTACTAACATTGCACACCACTAGAAATCATTCTAAAAGAATGGTAGTCAATTCATGCATACTCTATTATAGAAAAACTTAATTATTAGTCATATATTGTTAATTACTCATGGTTCCCACAACTTTAGTTGTGAATTTAGCTACTCATGTTTGAGAATTCACAATTCATATTAGGATTAATAAGATAAATCATGAACTTACAATCATAATAAGTAAATACCGTAATCTTGAATTGAAAATCCAAAGAAAATTGCATAAAACGAACTTTAAGAATTAAGATGCTAAAATATTTGCAAAATAACTCCAGAAGCCAAGTTTAAAAGTCTCCAAAACTTTCTAACCCTTAAAAATGAATAACACAATAGTAGTTAATTCCTAAACAAAGTAGGAAAAGAAAATAAGAAAATTGTGGTTTGGGGTGGTCTCAATCAACGGTAGCAATGACGAACCGCGAATCAGTCTAAGGTCTGTGCCTCTGTGGTTCGCCTTTGTGGTTCAGCAGTTGGTCAAAAATCAAGGTATTCAATCGATGGTTTCCACCTACGGTCCGTAGGCCCGTCTACGATCGGTGTTGTTCCTTCGTGGTTCAAATGCTGAAACTCATCTTTCCGAATCAAACGATAATAGGTGACCTAAGATCTATTGTCCATACTATGGAGTGTCGTTTGCCTCCATGGTTCCACACTTGGTCAAACTTTCTTGAGATCATGATCCACACCTCTCCATCTACGGCTTGTCGACTGAACGACGGTCCTTGGTTGGGCTTTATCAACTATCACTCTTCTATTTCAACTCTTTTTCTCACACTAGTCCAAACCTATTTCCTACAAAAATTACATCAAATACCATCATATCTAATAATAAAATGTCCAAGACTCACACAAATTTCAAGTATAATGCATCAAAAATACTGAAACTTACGGTACAACCCAAAAACAAGGGTCTTTAATTAGCTATTAGTGTCTAAGAAAATAAGAAAAAGAAAACTACCCTACTTAATGCCCTATAATTAATGGATCAATAATAATTATTGGTATAGACTATTTATAGATGTAGATTATTCCAAATTAAAACAAGTAAATTCAAAATAAATTAAAAAGTCAAAACCTTAATTCTGAAGTAGGTTTACTCATGAATAGTGTGGTTTCGTAAAATTTTTGCTTCCATATTATTTTTTGTCATGACCCAAGAGCATCCTCTAGTCGTAACATGACGTACTTGACCTAAAAGGGTCTTATATAAGCCTCTTAGAATTCATTCATCGTATAGGTAGTAAAAATAGTGCGGAATTAAAAATTTTCTCAATAAAACAAACAACCGAATACTTATTTATAAAGCAACGAAATACTAAAGTCTCACAAGGCCTCCTTAGACACAATCTCAAACATCATAAGGATACGACCCTTTACAATAAAAAAGAATACTAAAATGTCTATTACATCAAAATGAAACTTAAGAGTTCTTTGTCCTCGAATCCATAAGGACATACCAAGTCTTGGAGGAATAAAAAAGATGGTGTTAGCAAAATTAAGCACTAAGTATGATGACCATGCAAAAACATGCTTTAAAAAGGACATTTGGTTTGAAAATCATGCATTATGCAACTTTTGAAATATCATTGTTCAATAGCATAAAAGACATATAACACAAGTATAAATATCATACAAGTCATAATATCTCCTTTAGACAATACCAACATGTAAACCATTACCTTTACCTTTTTGCCTTCACCTCAAGTAACTTTTATGCTACACCTTGTGCAATATATAGATAATTTCTCATACCACCATCCACACTAAGGCACCACACTAAGGTCATGAAAAATGAACTCATCTTTCAATCCTTTATATTTACATAATAAATCATTTAAGAGAAATAACATTACATAAGTTAACTTAGCACATCAGGAGCATTACCTAAGACGAAAATCCTAAGTCATACTTGTACAATGTGCAAGTAGCATCCCATAATACTAATCAAAATAAATACTCCCTTGAAGTAACCATAAGCAAACACATTCATATACAATAATACATGATAAGGAAGCAACTCATGATATGAATCATGTATAACATGCATCTTTACATTTAAGTATATAAGAGTCAACATTACCCAAAACACTTCATTTAGATTACTTTCATTCATTAGACCTTAAGTCATCATTCTCATTATCTCTAACACGAGAGGACATTTATACATTTAGAAGACTTCACACACTTTAGTCAATAAGACTTAGGGAACTCAGTAGAGCTCCTTTAAAGTCTACTCATGCCATGTGTAGGTAGCATCCCATACTACTACCTACACTTTATAGTACCTCTCAAGTGACTAGAGTGCACATCCACATGACGTGAATAAGAGTTTAAATGACATAGGCCATGAGAGGTAGTTCATGGAATTCGGTGTTCTATTCCCTCACCGTAAAGAGGTGGTCTCCTTGACTAATGGAGACCGACTCATCTAGCTTTGATGGTTTCGTAGTTAGGACCTATGTGAGCATATATTTGTGGGATATGAAAGACGTTCATTGAGATTCAGCCAAACGTTGGGAGAACCTCCACTAACCATATCCACTCGGTGCTTAGCCTACATTCTCATAGAATAGTTACATTGACATTACATTGGTGTGCTTGAGAGGGCCACCAACATTAGGTCTACCGACCCAAAACACATACACATGAAGGACCACCACCATTAGGTCTACCGATTCAAGGTATATAAGGATAACTCAATTAGTCATCTTAGGAAGAGTCACCACCATTAGGTCTACCGCTCTTAGGTTCATCATTTCACACAAGAAGGAGGTCACCATCATTAGGTATACCACTTCAAGGTTTTACAATCACATTAGCACCTAGACTCCTCATGAAAGGCTACCAACATTAGGTCTATCAATCAAGACATTCATTCATTCATACATAAAGAGGCTACCAACAATAGGTCTATCAATCAAGACATTCATTCATTCATACATAAAGAGGCTACCAACAATAGGTCTACCAATTCAAGATCATTTAGACATCAAGTCAAGATACATTCATTGTTCTAGAAGAGGATGCACTAGCCTACCATTTCAAGATATACATTCACCTTTTCATTCCATTATACAAGAACAAGATGCCTAAGCCTACCAGTTAAAGATACATATTCAATATAGAACCTTTCACATTCCATCATGATCATTAATTCATTGGGATCACATGTATGTATACTTCAAACATGATCACCTTAACTTTATTGAATTCACATTCATATGACTATCAAATAAGCACCTTTTAATTCAACAAGTGATTTATCACAAATTGCCTTCAAGGACTTAGATCTCAACTTACCAAAATGCCAATACATTAATATAATAGTAATTTTCCATAATTAGGTATATATGATGATACTATTCAATAATCTAAATCAATTTACGCATAATTCATCAACATGCATTCATGATCAATAACTCACATCATAAGGCACAATATAAGGTTTGAGAAGAAGTCATCGGTTCATTGAGTTTTTTTAGAGAAGTCTTCCATATTTCTTCAATCTATAATGTGTCAATGGAGTTTTTAGAGAAGTCTTCTACCGAGTTTTTAGAGCGAAAGTAGTTTGAGAGGGAGGATTTTAATTTGAGAGATAAAGTCTAAATGAGTTAAAAGACATTAGCTTAGTGGTCTATTAACTATTTATACAAGGTTATTTAACTACTAAATCAATTTTTTAATCCTATAATTAATTAACCAACTCAACTCACAAAGTCTAACTTAAAATTAAACTATCAAAAACTGATAGCATCTACGATTGCCCATTCACGGACCTTGGATCGGTCCAAGGGGCATGGTTTGGGTCCATAGTTTGGACCCAACACTCAAAAC